ACCATTGAGGAATTTTAACCAAAGTATGTTGCAGACATTTCATGAAGACCCTAAAGAATCATACCAATTTGTGGAAAATGGGCATCCGATGTCTCCTTTAAAGCCGGGCTCAGACTACAGGAGTTTTAAAATCCTAACCGATTATGAAATCTGGTTGCAGCACACACATAAGGAGAATCTTTGCCGATTTTCTTCCCTCAAATCTTAAACGCGCACAAGATCTGAAAATCGTGGCGCATCACACACTACAAGATTTTATAAAGATTTTCATGCCTGAGGGAGTGCCTCACGTGATGTCACGCAGCAGATCGTCATCGACGTTTCAGCAATGTTTGCATATGTTAGCTAGCGTGCTAGCAGCTTTTACACTCTTAAAAGAGTCACTCTACAGCTTGTTTTGCAGTGCCGTATTGGCTATTGTGAAAGTACTGACGTAATCATAGCCATCATCATCCCGATTTAAAATCCTAAATATCAAACATATTTGATATTAATCGGGGTGGCCCCGATTTTGTGTGAGAGCAGATTGGGAGGTGCAAGATTCGATCTGCAAACGCCTCACATTACAAGATAATCTGTGCCAAACATCGGAACCGATTGAGATCCTGGAAAATATTTTTTCTCCCGATTCTCAGGAGGGGAAAATTGGGGATAAATCGGCCTAAATCTCCTGTAGTGTGAGCCCAGCTTAAAGGTACGTAATAGCACTTTAATTGTACATAGTACCCTTTGAAAGGGTACTGACCCAGTATATCTGAGAGTGTATGGAGAATTTTATTTATATCTAGAATCCTACAACTGGGACAATGCCCACAGTCAGTGACATCACAAATGAAAGTTTGTATTAGGAGTAAAATAGTGGTTCTGATGGAATCTCTAATGTATGTTTTGGGTATGTATGGGCTTTTTATAGGATTATAACATCTTTGACTTTTCTGTAATCATCTGAAATATTTCAAGCTTCAAAATGGACACAAAAGGACCATAAAATTGGTCCATACACTATAGTTCAAGTCTTATAAAGTCATGTGATAACATTGTCTGAAAAATAAACTAGTTTGTCGGCATTCACTGAAAATCTGTCCTGGTACTCTTTGGGCCAAGCATTAAGATGTGGGCACATTAGAGAAATTTTATGTGCAAAAAAGGACCATTGCTTAGTATATGAAGCTCAGCTCACACAGAATTCACTTTTGAACCAAGCAGCTTTCTGTTGGTCAACATGGTAAACTCACATAACCCTTGAACCCGATGTGGGGAAATATTTCGCCTCACGCGAAAAAATTCTGATCACGCTGATTCCTATTGAAGTGACTTGATTTCGATTATGAAAAATCGCTTAACTGTCAAGTCAAGTCACCTTTATTTATATAGCGCTTTTAACAATACAGATTGTGTCAAAGCAACTGAACAGCATTGATTAGGAAAATAGTGTGTCAATAATGCAAAATGACAATAGTAAACACTAATTTTTCAGTTAAAGACAGTTCATCATTGAAATCAGTGATGTCATCATCCAGCTCAATTCAGTTTAAGTAGTATCTTTGCAATCATTTGCAATCAAGGCGACGATATCGCTGGAAATGAAGTGTCCCCAACTAAGCAAGCCAGAGGCGACAGCGGCAAGGAACCAAAACTCCTTCGGTGACAGAATGGAGAAAAAACCTTGGGAGAAACCAGGCTCAGTCGGGGGCCAGTTCTCCTCTGACCAGACTCAGTAAACGCAAGTCCTAATGCATCATTTGTATTATCAACGTGAATGTTAAAATCTCCGACAATTAGCGCTTTATCAACAGTAACCAATAGGTCTGAGAGGAAATCTGCAAATTCTTTTAGGAAATCTGTATATGGCCATATATCTGTATATGGTCGGTGAGGTGGAGGACAACATCACAACACAGCTATAGCCCACTCCCACCATCTTGACATCATCTACCCAGAGTCAGAGCCATTACCTACCACAGACCCAGAACCAGAGCCCACCACAGACACTGAGCCAGAGCCTATGCCTGCCATGGACCCTGTGGTAGAGCCATTTTCTGCCCCGGAGCCCGAGGCTTCTGCAAAGTCTGAACAGGTGTGTGAGCAGGACCCCATGACCATCCCAGAGTAAATGTTGGTGGAATTGGACTGCCTGGAGTGGCTGATTGACTTGAGTGACACAGAGCCAGTTCCTGTCCTTGTTTCTACCCTTGAGCAACCTCCTTCCTTGCCGATCCCCTCCAGCTGTTTAGATACTCCATTTAAATACTCTATTTAGATACTCTTTTTAGGTTCCACCCAGCCCTGAATCTCCTGCTCCACTGGTTTCATGTTAAAATCTCCGACAATTAGCGCTTTATCAACAGTAACCAATAGGTCTGAGAGGAAATCTGCAAATTCTTTTAGGAAATCTGTATATGGCCATATATCTGTATATGGTCGGTGAGGTGGAGGACAACATCACAACACAGCTATAGCCCACTCCCACCATCTTGACATCATCTACCCAGAGTCAGAGCCATTACCTACCACAGACCCAGAACCAGAGCCCACCACAGACACTGAGCCAGAGCCTATGCCTGCCATGGACCCTGTGGTAGAGCCATTTTCTGCCCCGGAGCCCGAGGCTTCTGCAAAGTCTGAACAGGTGTGTGAGCAGGACCCCATGACCATCCCAGAGTAAATGTTGGTGGAATTGGACTGCCTGGAGTGGCTGATTGACTTGAGTGACACAGAGCCAGTTCCTGTCCTTGTTTCTACCCTTGAGCAACCTCCTTCCTTGCCGATCCCCTCCAGCTGTTTAGATACTCCATTTAAATACTCTATTTAGATACTCTTTTTAGGTTCCACCCAGCCCTGAATCTCCTGCTCCACTGGTTTCACACAGCCCTGAATCCCCTGTCAGCCAGTTCCAAGTCTCCCTTAGCAACATTGTTCTCGTCCAGCCTCCTTCTCTCTCCTCCTCTTTAAATTAAAGGCAGTTTTTCAGCCCTGTCTCCGCTGGCTCCCCTCAGCCAGTTTGCCAGCTCCGCCTAGGTGTGTCAATCCCCTGGCTTCACCTCGAGCCTCTGAGCCCTAGACTTCCCTAGACTCCCTGTAGACCCATTGGATCCCTTCGTATCCACCATGGCCCATCATCCCTCAAGCTACACCAGGCTCCCTCGTTCCTCTGGCTCTGCCTTGGTCAGTCATCACCCTGCTTGCGCCATAACCTTCCAGTCCTACAACTATGCCTTGTTTCTCCACCCCTATGGCTCATCCCGGCTCCGCATCAGTCTGCCGAGTGCCAGCACCACATGATGACAATGGTCTCTCTCATTCTGGGAGTATATGAGGAGATCATTTCTGTACACTTATGATGAAATGTTGTGGGTACTTCCAGAACACCTCATTAATGAAACCCTGGAATACAGAGGGAGCATTGGCCAGGCCATATGACATGACCCGATATTTGTAGTAGCTAGTGGGTTTGTGAGAATTGTTTGGATCATGTGAGAACTGTTTGTGGAATATAGGAGTAGAAGGCTTGGTAGGTGGAGACCACAATGGTGGAGGTGGATCCGAATCCATTCGCCGATCTCCGGGTCTGGCAGTAGCACTTTTAGCAGTAGCTTAGCATAGATTATTGAATCTGATTAGACCGTTAGCATCTCGCTCAAAAATGACCAAAGAGTTTCTATATTTTTCCTATTTAAAACTTGACTCTTCTGTAGTTACATCGTGTACTAAGACCGACGGAAAATGAAAAGTTGCGATTGTCTAGGCCGATATGGCTAGGAACTATCTCTCCGCCGGAATGAGAGTATAGTTCCTAGCCATATCGGCCATAATTCACGCCTGCACGCTAGGTGGCGCAGACCAACAATGCATTTTTTCCTCATGTAGCCTATGTAGCTCGTATATGGCTTTTGCATTGTTCGCTGCTCAATATACAGCATTAAATTAAGATTAATAACTTTTGGTTCTTCATTAGAAACACAAACTATCCATAATGCTTACAAGAATACATCTGAAAATATAATTAGAGGTACAAATAGCATCAAGCTACATTTCAAAACGTATGTAATTATTAATGTTTTTGCTCAAACCCCACTTTAAACCATCATCGAGTGCTTGTAATAACTTGTAATATCTAAAATGGATTTAGATTCTATAATAGGTAGACATGCACTCTTTGTATGTTTTATAATAGACTGAACGCTACCTGCTTGTCATAAACCTTTATTGTTATAAAAATACCGTGAGCTACAGAAAATATATCTTCATAATCATATGTCTATTTGCTTTCATATTTCATGTGTAGAAAAATGTTTCTCTATTTTTTTTTATATACGGAAGGGCAAGAGATGATTGACAGATCTTGAGTGAACGCGCTCTCGCGCACATGGAATAAAATGGACTGTGCTCTCCAGATCACATAATTCAGTGGAGATTTAATAGAAATGTTATTCTGTATTAAAGAATGTGAGAATATATCTGTTCTCAAATACCAACAATAACAAGAACTCAGCATCCACTTTCTTCTCTCTACTGGGATACTCTTCTTCGGTGTTTGTTTACAATGGCTTTCGAAACAGCGCCACCATTCTCAACCTTTTGTGCAACAGCAGCTGCTCCGGGCACGTGATCTAAGCTCAAATCTGATTGGACGGCCCGTTTCATCGCGGAGCGACGGGGAAAAAAATCGACACACAGGACGAAAAAAAAATCTTCGCTCTTTCGCGCCGCGAATGATCGCGCCTAGTGTGAATAGCCCCATTAGGGATCAATTGTTTTGATTCAAACGCGTCATCGCGCCGAACATTCACGCCGATTTTCGTGTTCAGTGTGAAAAGCCCTTTAGTTGCACTGGTTGGAAGGCCCACCAATATAGAACATTGCAGTAGTCCAATCTTGAAATTACAAGAGATTGGACAAGTAGCTTTGCTGCATATTCTGACAGGAAGAGCCTGATTTTCCAAATGTTGAATGAGCGTGTACCTACACTGCCTGTGAAGTAGGACTGAAGCCACCGAAGTACCGTACCTGTGATCCCCAGAAAGAGTGAACAGGAGGATATGTCAAAGGCTGCAGGTCAAGCAGAATAAGAACATATGATTTGGAGTGTTCAATCAGCTCTCTGATTTTCTGTCACGGAACAATCTACTTGAAAAGAACCAGTCTGGGTTCAAAAGCAGACACTGAAAGTGGAGGCAACCCTGTCGACCGTTGCTGAAATTCTTCGGCTGGCAAGAGTGAGCAAAGCATGTAGGATGGGTGGAACAGCACTCTGGAGATCTCATTCTCTGAAAAAGGACAGAAAGAATAGAAGTGTTGGAGAGACTTTTGACTGTCAGGATCTGATTCGTAATTAAATGAGTGAACCCCCCTGGGTGCTGGTTAGAGCACAATAATATATAAGGATGAGGAGACAGGTGATCAGGTTTAGGTGATGTATTGATAGGAGGTAAGCCACAGAGGTACAGGTATTTCACAGGTGGGTATTAATTACAGGCAGTAGAGGCATTAGTCTGGAACACAAGAAATACAATAAAGGTTAATCAATAACTAACAATAACTAGGCATATACAACAATAAACATCCATTGGTACATAAAGGCAGCCAAAGCATACTAAATCCTCATCAGTAACATTTTTCCATGAAATATACAATCCAAGAAAAGAAAATAAGGTATCACTTTGTACATTATAAGCCATTAGCGATCATCTAACATGATAAACATCACTCCATATATGGATAGAATCGAGGCACATCAGAGTGATCGCTTGTTTGGCATAAACAGCTTGAAATATCAAAATCACATCACAGAGGTATCAATGAAAATCAAAACAGTGATATACATCTCAGAAAAGAAGAAATAATTCGCATATGCAACAGCCTCATTTGGCTAAACTAACAAAAACAACGTCTGCAGGCATGTCTAGACATGTGCGTGTGACGCAGTTATAAATAACTCAATACTGATCTCAATAAACACAATAATAAAGAAAACAGACTTACTTGTAGGTCAATGACTAACACCTCAAGGTAACTTCTGCAGCAAATATGACAGGAATGAATGACTTTTCAGCGATCGGCAGAATACAGAGTTCAGCAGGCATCAGCGGCTTAACTCACGAGACTGCTCAGCCAGAAGGTGACGTACGGTGTCAGAATAAAAGGCCTCTCTTAAAGGAGCCTTTACAACAAGAAGAGTTGAATGTGTGTGGGTGGAGGATGTAAAGAACTGGTTGCTGATGGTTGCCAGCTTATCAGTGAAGAAGCTGGCAAAGTCATCAGCAGTCGGAGAAGAAGTGGGAGGAGGTGGAGGGGGACAGATAAGAGAAAAGTTGTGAATAGTTTCAGGGTGTCTAAGGTGTTGCTGATTTTGTTTTGGTAGTAAGATATCTTGGCAGCAGAATCATTAGAGAAGAAAGAGGACAGGAGAGAATGGTATTTGCTCAGGTCAGCAGGGTCTTGTTGTTACATACTGCTCAACACTGCTTGTGACTTATAACTCATAACTTAGACTTGTAGTACAACACAACGAAACGTTTCAATTTATATTTTACTTCAGTATTTGCAGTGAGATCCCATTTGTAGACATGCACATAGAAAAGAAACTCACATTTCACACTACATGTATGTGTTTTTATTTAGTGTGAAGCACGGCGGCGTATGTGTGCAGAAGTGGCTCTCCGGCACATTTATTTCAGAGACCTGGGAGAAAAAGTGCAGGACCTGGCTGACAGTAAGTATTTCATACTAGTAATTTTATAGTCTTATTATAATATATTAGTCTTATTATTATTATTATTCAATTATAGTCTTATAAGCTAATTGTTGTAAGATGTGATGCTGTGTACATAAATTTGCATAGACAATTTCTACACATTTATAAAGTCATACATTCACAGCTGAAATGTCATGTCTGTATTAATAAAATGTTAAATTCTGTCACTCCAGCTACCTCCATCTTTTCTGTCAAGGAGATTCGACTTCAGATGGACCCAGGAAAACACTTTCCAGCTCAAAGAGAGTTGGGTGAGTTTGAACATTTACCTGGATGTTGAGTTCCTTGTACATGTTGGGAAAAAAAGAAGCAAGACTGTAACCCTATTTTATCTCTCCTCCAAAAAATCAGATGAGAAAGTAATTGACACTACAGAAGTACCGTTTAGACTGTTCCCGCTAAATTTGGATCTCGTTTCCAGAATCTCACATTTAAATTTCCGCTACTGAAAGAAAGAGAGATAGGCGTGTAGTAAAATAAAAGTGTAGTCTTCACAAAATTGTATGTTATTTTATTCGTCTTGTCAAGAGTCTTGAATTTATTGACTTTGACTTGAATTTATATGAATTATCTTAAGACACAAAATTCGTTTAATATTTTATGCAACACAGTAGGAAAAAAAGTGTCAGAGAAAATAAAAAATGTTGTACAAAAATGTTATTTCTTATTGTTATTCGTCTTGTCAGGATACAGTTCGTTTAACATTGACAACACAAAAGTGTCGCAGAGAGAAAAAAAATAAAAATGTAGGTTGTACAACACTAGATTTATGTGTTTTTATTTAGTGTGAAGCACGGCGGCGTATGTGTGCAGAAGTGGCTCTCCGGCACATTTATTTCAGAGACCTGGGAGAAAAAGTGCAGGACCTGGCTGACAGTAAGTATTTCATACTAGTAATTTTATAGTCTTATTATAATATATTAGTCTTATTATTATTATTATTCAATTATAGTCTTATAAGCTAATTGTTGTAAGATGTGATGCTGTGTACATAAATTTGCATAGACAATTTCTACACATTTATAAAGTCATACATTCACAGCTGAAATGTCATGTCTGTATTAATAAAATGTTAAATTCTGTCACTCCAGCTACCTCCATCTTTTCTGTCAAGGAGATTCGACTTCAGATGGACCCAGGAAAACACTTTCCAGCTCAAAGAGAGTTGGGTGAGTTTGAACATTTACCTGGATGTTGAGTTCCTTGTACATGTTGGGAAAAAAAGAAGCAAGACTGTAACCCTATTTTATCTCTCCTCCAAAAAATCAGATGAGAAAGTAATTGACACTACAGAAGTACCGTTTAGACTGTTCCCGCTAAATTTGGATCTCGTTTCCAGAATCTCACATTTAAATTTCCGCTACTGAAAGAAAGAGAGATAGGCGTGTAGTAAAATAAAAGTGTAGTCTTCACAAAATTGTATGTTATTTTATTCGTCTTGTCAAGAGTCTTGAATTTATTGACTTTGACTTGAATTTATATGAATTATCTTAAGACACAAAATTCGTTTATTTATTTATGCAACACAGTAGGAAAAAAAGTGTCAGAGAAAATAAAAAATGTTGTACAAAAATGTTATTTCTTATTGTTATTCGTCTTGTCAGGATACAGTTCGTTTAACATTGACAACACAAAAGTGTCGCAGAGAGAAAAAAAATAAAAATGTAGGTTGTACAAAAATAGCCTATTAGCTATTTTTATTCGTCTTGTCAAAATACTAAATTCGTTTGACATTTTTCTGTTAACACAGTAGGAAAAGTGTTGCAGAGAAAAATAAATAAATATGAATGATTTCATTTAAAATTATAGGCTAAGCAAAATATAAACAAAACCGAGTTGAACGTCCTTCAAGGACAGCGCATCCACACTTTGCTCCATCCTTATTCTGCTCTGTCACTCATCAACAACCTGCCTGTTCTGTCTGAGGGCCGTATATTTACCACAGGTACAGCCTGCTCTGAGCATCATTATGCACATGCTGCGCACAGACCCCGCAAATAAAACGCGTGGCGCAGAAAGCATGCGTGCAGCGTGTGCATAACAGTCC